CTTGGATGTTCAGATGGTGTAATAGATGGCGGAGTTCTAGTTCCAGTCAGGTTTGTTATATTCACTTATGCATAAATACCCTCGGGAAAGGTATGAATCCACCTCTTCTCTCCCCAGCTATGGGTTAATTAGTATGACTTGTATCAGTAAAATCATTATCTCCAAAAAATTCTTACAATCTAAAAATATTTTCTAGCTTTAAATAACCTGCAGAAGGTTGATAAGCTATAAAAAATGATAAGTCAGAAACAACTTTATATATATATATACTTCCATCAGTGAAAACGACACTGGATAAAGAGGACTACTTTAGATGGGATTCTATGCCAAATTGATATTTTATATCCCCAGTCTTGATTTTCTTAGCGTATTTGTGGAGGTCAGCATTTTTAAGGCAAACAGTCTTGTATAATTTCACTTCTCAATATCAAAAGAGATTATTAATAGCAAAAAATAAAATCAAATGTTCAACATATCTACCTTGACTTTTTTTCTGACTTAGAATCAAAAAAAGAAAAATGTTTGATTCCCAAGAAATTATTCCCTCAGACTGCACCTCCCCATGGCACTTAAATGGTCAATTCCTGATGCCTGTGGTATCCAGAAGAGAACTTAAGAAATGCTTGTCTCTTTCCACATGTATTCATTTGGATGCATTAAACAGCTTGTGTTGACTTTGTCCTCATGGGAAAAGGAATAAATAAACTTTTGTAAACAGTCAACTGCATTTGATTGGCTGGAATACTCTTTCTTTTTTTCCAGGACAGTAGTTAACATGCTGGTTCCACAAGTAGAGGTTATAATATGTTTTATATATATCCTTTCCTTCTCCTCCTTTTTCCCCCCCCCACCCTTCCTTCTCCTCCTTTTCTCCCACCCCACCCTTCCTTCTCCTCCTTTTCTCCCACCCCCACCTTTTCTCCTCCTTTTCTCCTTTTCTCCTCCTTTTCTCCCACCCTTTCTTCTCCTCCTTTTCTCCCCCCCCTTCCTTCTCCTCCTTTTCTCCCACCCCCACCTTCCTTCTCCTCCTTTTCTCCCACCCCCACCCTTTCTTCTCCTCCTTTTCTCCCACCCCACCCTTCCTTCTCCTCCTTTTCTCCCACCCCACCCTTCCTTCTCCTCCTTTTCTCCCACCCCCACCTTCCTTCCTTCCTTTATTTTTTTTCATCTTGCCTAATCAGTATATTAAAATTAATCTTTTCACTGTCCACTCAGATTACTGGATTGAATAGCATTTTTCTTTTGTAAAAGACACATTTTTATTTTATTTTTTTTGTATACTTCATCTTCATGTAGATTTCATTTTGTATTCTGCAAGAAGCAATTCTATTTTAAGCATCAGTTTGGCTTATTTCCAAATCTCAGTCTAAACTGCTGGCACAATTCTGATTCTTTAAATTGTTTCCCAATTTCTTCCTCCTCTTTTTTTCTTTTTTTTTTTCTTTTTTTTTCCCCCCTTCATAGATCTCCAATCAAAATCTGTGTGATTGGATAAGGGATCAGGTGAGCTTGTTTATATGCTACTGCTTCTGCTGCTTCTGCTGCTGCTAGCTAACATTGTGAAAAATAGAGAACAAAGGAAATCGGCTAGGATAAATATTAATAATCACACTCCTAAGGGTATTTAACATTATCTGTTCTACTGCATAGAGGTCAGCATCTATTTTGTCGGATGTCTTAACTACAAAATGGTAATTGATTCTTTGTGTTGTGTTCCTTCAGGATATGTGCAATCATGGCTCTCTACAAATTCCTGTCTATGTTGCTCTTAGTAACTCTTTACCGTCTCTCTTTGTCTCGGTTCTGCCTTTCACACATACAGACTTGTTAAGGAGATTATTTGAGATCTCTCCAGCCTCTCTTGTTTTCAGTATGTCTTGTAAGTGTTAAATTCTCTGGGTCTACTTTCCTCATTATGTCTCAGAAATTTCAATTGTTTCTTTCTGATTTTAATCATAAGTGTAATTTAAATTTTATTTTCCTTAATATTTCATTGCTTAAACGTTCAGTATTGTCAGTATCCATTGTTAAAACTCCTTCTCTGTCAGGTCAAATCTCTTCATCTGCAGAGATTGTCCAACATTCTCAATCATATAGGATTATGTAGTAGTTCAGCAGTCAAACTAGTTAGTTTTTCTAACATTTTCCTATCTCTTAATACTTAGCTTCATTTCTGAAAGGCATCTTTCACTGTCTTTGGATTTCATTGTTGCAATTTCTGTCATTTGTTATTACCTTTGAGTTTCAAATAGACAGGTTGGGACATTTTATTTTTAAAGAAAATTCCATTTGTGACATTCTTATCCAACCACCCCTTTTATTAAATAACCTTAAAAATTTCCTCTCTTTATTTTGGCTGCAAGTATTCTAGGGTGAAGTGTTTCATTTGAATATTTATTAAAAAAGATATTTGAAATTAGGATGTCTTGGTGGATTATTCTTGAAAAAAAAAATAATAATCCCAGTCCATCTTATTTGAAATTCAAAGGTACAGAAGTGTGCAAAATTGTAACAATTCTATCAAGAATAGGCATCCACGTCCTTATTACATATAATGTTATAAAGTCGGTCAAATTTATTTCTCTCTATGGTGCTATAAAATCGTGCTGGAACTGATAACAAAACAAGACTAAATTTGTCTTTGTAGTCTCAATCTATAGTAATACTATTGACTAATTAATATCATTTTTATGATATCATTGGAGTAATGGATAGCGGCTCCGATTGAGGAATGGTAACTTACTACGGTAAAAAAATCTGCCTCATCAGTCATGTATTGAAAGATACATGATCACCTAAGCGTGTATCATGCATGGCACATAACTGACTGATGACATCATTAATGCCATTAATTTTCAAAATAAATACCAAAACTTCATTTTTTTTTTTTTTTTTTAAATATTTATTATTTGAAACATTAGTGTCAAAAACCTTCAAGTATAAGTCTTGTATATAGAAAAAGTCTATAGATCTCATTCTTCAAAATCCTTACAAATAACTGATTTGATTTTCTTTATGATTTATTAACCCTTTGTGGGTTATTTTAAAGCCGAAACATGTTTTGGATGGTAAGATTAAATTTTTCTTTTCTTTCATGTGAATGGATATTGCAGTAACAATTTTTGGGAGCTAACAACGATTTTTTTTCCAGATATAAGTCCTACTATTTAACCCATAGCTGGGTACAGATAATGGATCCATACTTTTCCAAAGGATATTTTCATATAAGTGAATAAGTACGAATGAACGGTAAAAAAGCATATGTAAAATAAAAATTAAAAAAAAACAAATGTTTAAGCTTGGATCTTAAATGTAAAATATCCCCCCCCTTTTTTTTTGAGAGGATCAAAAAAAAAATAAATAGAATTGGCACTCTTAACTTTTGACATAGATGCCATCCCCACTTGACTTTTTATTTTGATGCTGTACACATGGTTTTGAAAGAGTACCTACTACACTTGTTTTTAATTAAAAATTGAGAAAATTTTGCTTATTCTTTTTTTGATTTTTATATATATATATATATATATATATATATATATTTTTTTTTTTTTTTTTTTTTTTTTTTTTGCAAAAGACATATGATGCTTGGTGATTTGGTTAGATTTTATGAAGTCAAGAATTATATGGGAACATACATGAATGGGGCTCCTCCCCCTTCTCTTCAGTGTGGAAACATGTTTGCAATCCTTTTTGTTTTACCTGTGAGCCCAACCAATTTAATCTTTTTCATTTGTGTGGGTACAGTTTAATGAAAGGTATTATGCAAGAACTAAAGTTTCTTTTTTTGTTTTTTTTTGTCTAAGACAAAATGGAGATATTGTTATGTGATAATAGTATTCTTCTTTTAGATTTCTCTTTGTGCTTCCATCTTTGTAATGATTAAGTTAGTTGTTGTGTGTTTTATTTTCTTTTTTTTCTTTGTTTTATTTTTTAAAATGCTCTATTGATTATCTTTTTGAATCTTCAGTTTTATCAACTTTCTCAAGGTCATTTTACAAGTATATTCTCTGTTTATTGATTACTACTACATAGCATCCTGGGAACAGCATAATTATGTACAAAAGAAAAACTAGCAGGTCTCTCAGTCGGTATATATTTTGATCATTTCTTTTAAATCTCTGAATTTCTGGAGTGAGCAGCAGGCAGAGTAGGTTTAAGGCTCCAATTTATACACTCGGGATTGTCCCACAGGACAATAGACTTGTGAATTAAAGTGTTGGACCATGAATTTCATGTCATAGTAAATGTGAGGTTATTGCCTGTCTGAGTAATGCAGATATAGAAATAGTGAGTAATAACTAAATAAGATACAAGAACAAGATGAGGTTTCTGTAAACACAGTAGAATGGGTAGATTAATACCTGATCACCATGCTAGTAATAAATTTAATAAGGTTATGATAAATCATTATCATATTTTGAGCTTCATAATATTTATGAATGAGCTTAGTTGTTGAGTGATAGTTTAAGACCTGCTTGCGCCTTTCATGTCCTCCTTTTTTTTTTTTCTCTTATTAAAAGAAATTCTTACATCAGAAGTTCTAAATAATTGGAAATGGCTGACAAAAATATCACAAAATAAAGTCTTCTTACTCTAACAGTGATTCAAGATCGTCAGTAGATGGTAATGAAGGTAGTGACTGGACTAGCTGATCTGATATTTCTTTGATGTTATGTCCTCACAAAAAGATTCCAGTTTGAAATAGTTAAGCAGTGCATTGACAAAGATATACTTTGGTTGAAATTGTCACAGGCATCAAATAAAGTTACACTGGTTCATAATTAAGATAATAAACATTATCGATCTGCTGAGGGTAATTCAAATGCCAACATCAAGAAGTTTAAATATCTGGGAAGAGTTTTTAACAGAGGATGAAAAATGTGACAATGAGATACAAACATGCATTGGACTAGTGAAAGGAGCATTCTAAATGCTAAGCAAGGTGCCTAGAAATGGAAAAATCCTGTTAGAAACAAAGAAAGGAGTGCTGGATTGCT